GTGCTTTTATTTTACTATTCTTAATTAACATTCAAAAGATTGCTTATAATTTACATATTTGGATAGGTGGAGGTATTATTTTCATTTAGCAATTATCAAAAATGTATGGTTCTTTAAAAACAACTTTGACTACCTTATATTAAACCTGGTGATGGGAAGTTGTATTAGTCATACCTTGGCTACAACTATATTTATTTTGTTACTTTAGTCCAAGCTAACCTTTTCTGTGCTTTTTTTCTTATCCTATATGAAATTCAGTGTCTTATTTCTTTATTACATTCTAGTGTTACTATACTATTATTTTGTTTAAATATATTGAAAAGTTTTCCTTTCCCTTTGATAGTTATATATTTGCATTTTGAGATTAAAGCACAAATTTATATTTTCATACAGGTATGTTTTTGATTCTTTAAACTGAACATTGAAACCTCCTCTAAATGACAAACGACTAGATGTTTCCATTTAAGATATAAAACCTATAAAACCTATATTTTACCTATAAAAATGTTTAAGTCACCAAACTTCAAAAACTTATGGCATGTTCAATTATCAACTCTTTTATTATTTAACTACACAGACTCTGAGTGTGAGTGACACACTTCTTTTACTATGATCATCAGATGAATTTCTCCAGGAAGTAGGTGCCATCTTCCTGTTCAAACTGCAGACAATGCTTGCTCCAGAATTTTCCAATTGCCATTTGTGTGGTTGGGGCTCTTAAAACAGCCTACACATGAAATGTGTCCTACACCCCCAAAAAAACACTCTCAGTTATCAAGTTGGGGGCAATATATGGATGTTTTCCACCAAACCCGTTAGAAGTTCAACCTAACTTATGGAAAGTTATTGTTGGCCTGCGCATTCAGCAGATAAATTTTAAAGAGAAAAAAGAAGGAGAATGGAATTGTCCTTTTTCCTGACTGTCCAGTTCCCCAGTCTCTTCATTCTAATGTGTCCCTTTCAAGTCCTTCCACTAACACAAGGGAAGCCTGGGTAGTGAGTGTGTGTGTGTAACTCACAGCAGAGCCAGGAGTGGGGGCAGGGAAATCTCCTGAGGCCCTGCTTACTAATGTAATTCCATAAATCAGCTAATGGGAGAGAAACCAGATCTGTGTGGTCTCTAATGCTGTCCCACAGAGATCAATCATGTCACCTGAACAATGTTCAGGGCCTAAGAGGCTGGGGCTGCCCATGGGACAATTTCATCCCTTGAGCTATACATATCAGGTTGGGATATTTTTAAAAAGTTAGTGTCAGAAATAGAACTGCTATGAATACAAAAACTGAAAGATTACCTTTGTATGACACAAAGTGCTATTATGCAACTTATCATAATATAAAATCACATGTTTCTTAAAGTATCTGGGACTGTGGATCATTTAGGATCCAAGCTTTTAACACGTTTTGTCACATAAGGGGGATACAGCATCTGTAATAACTGCTTTAAATAATTAATGATGGATGATTTTTAAATATAGTAACTGACTAAATGAAGTGTTATGTGCAAATATATAGTGCACAATAGCATAGAAAAATTAAATTAGTCTTGTGTGCATTGTTATCATATGAAATATATTAAAGGGGTGTTCAATAGGCCTATTTCTGGGGCATTAAGATGCTCTTAACATGAGACTAGGAAGAAAATGTGGAAATAAAGCAGTTTTTGAAAAGAATGCTAGGTGGGAGGCTTTAAAAAATGTGGGCAAGAGTCCCAAAACAATCATGTGAGTGTATCTTCATTTCAGTTTACTCACCCAGAAAATCTGAGTATGCCTCCAATCTTTGGGATGAGAATAAGTCAAATAAAAGAATTGCACAGGAGGTTTGAAGGGATAAATAAGAATATAAGTAATGATTAGATCCACATATTTACTGGATTTCATAATTTAAAGCCAGCAAATAGTAACTACTGAACTTACTCCTGAAATCCACAGGTAGCATCCATAATAAACCCCCAAATCACCATTCTCAGCTAGGGTGTCTATCCAATCTCTAAAACGTCTCCACAGATGATGAGAACTTACAGGGACCAAATGAAAGAGGGAAGCAGGCCAGTAGGAGGACTCTTCACCAACCCACAACCACTGCTGCAGCTTTGGTTCAGCCATGTGAACCCTGTCGCTCTGACATGTGGCCAGCTGGTTTCCTAGAACCCTAACTATGTGGTTACACATGTGTTTAAGGCACTCATGCCACCATTGCTTTTTATTAATGACCTAGATAGAATCTTAGTCAATTAAACAAACAAAGCAAAAACCTCACAACTTCTTTTTCTTTCTTTTTGACAAAGAACATTTCACTAATAATCTTAGCCTTGAGCCATGACCCATTCTCTGGTGGGATGAGTAGTATATAGTTAGGACAACTTCTTCATTCTACAAAAAGAGAGAAATGCGTCTCCACAGATGATGAGAACTTACAGGGACCAAATGAAAGAGGGAAGCAGGCCAGTAGGAGGACTCTTCACCAACCCACAACCACTGCTGCAGCTTTGGTTCAGCCATGTGAACCCTGCCGCTCTGACATGTGGCCAGCTGGTTTCCTAGAACCCTAACTATGTGGTTACACATGTGTTTAAGGCACTCATGCCACCATTGCTTTTTATTAATGACCTAGATAGAATCTTAGTCAATTAAACAAACAAAGCAAAAACCTCACAACTTCTTTTTCTTTCTTTTTGACAAAGAACATTTCACTAATAATCTTAGCCTTGAGCCATGACCCATTCTCTGGTGGGATGAGTAGTATATAGTTAGGAGAACTTCTTCAGAGTTCTACAAAGAGAGAAATGTGTTTCCCCTCCCACTCGCACCCCACCTTCTGAAGAGCAACAGAACTTTTAAGCACTTGGATTTTAAAAAATAAGAAAAAGCAATACTATTGAATAATATGTGATTGAAATGCCTAAGGTATCACAAGATTGTGGGAAAACTATCAAAAGGAAATTTATGAAATGTGTTTAGACGGATAAATCAGCATAGAAACTAGTACAGAAAACCTATTGGCACTCACATTAAGCTCCTTCAGAGTGATTATTTACTGATTGAACCAGAATTATTCATTGGTCCTATGAACTACATACCCTAAATCGGTATGTAGGCAGCACCATGTAGGGTCTAGCTAAAGACAAGGCCTACTAGCAACACCAAATCTATAATTCTAGACAATATCATAATTCAAAAGGAAAAATAAAAGACAGGTAATAGTTATCAACCAGGTATTCACAGGAAATTTCAGGATGAACTGAATTTTCATTTCCCATGGGCCTTAGAAACCTAGGGAAGTTACAATAAATTGATCTAGAAAAGAGAACTAAAAACTAATTTTTGCGGCCTAAGAAAAGACATGGAGCTGCATTTTAATCATTGTAATTATCTTTGCTAGCAGAGTTGCCAAATAACATGTAATAAACTGCTCTGGAGTAAAGTCAAACTTTCAACAAAGAGATGAGTACTCATATAAAGAGGAATATATACAACATTTTGATGGAACCGATCACAATCAATAATGCTATCAATATATACTGATTATTTTTGGAATCCCAAAGTATTTTTTGCTTTACTTTATATTAATAAATTTTTGTTGAAAAATCTGTACCTTATTTGTGTTCAAACTGCAACAAAGATCTCCAAATCTTATCTTTTATTCTCTTAAAGACCAGTCCTTTGTGGATAAAACTCCTTTAAGCAGTGTTCTTTATTTTTTAAAAGAACATGTAGGTGCCCTTCTGGTGATAACTGTGAGAGCCACTATCACCCTACAAACCAGCCCACAGAATACTCCCAAATGCTAAATCTACCACCTGTGGTCTCATATTCATATGATCATCTAGCCATCTACTCTGTGAAATTTATCAAGAATCCAATTATGATTATTTGTCCATATTTCTTTGCTAAAAACACTACCAAAACCATTTACCTGTGGTTTTCCATTTCCACTCTTTTTGTTTGGTCAAGTTACCATTGATCTGTTTCCACCAAACATATCAATCTCTGTATTTAACATAATTAAACGTCTAATTTAACATTTACTTTAGTGATCATCAGTACATTGTCTCTTGTAAGGACATATAAGAAAAGGAAACTGTTATAGACCATATAAGGTATCAACCAAAACTGTGCTTGTGTATAGAACAATTCTGTGACCACAAAATGCTTACTTTGTCCAATGCAGAGCCCAAAGCATGTATCTTTTGGTAACTGAGTTCTTTCTGAAACTATGTAAAACAATTCTTAAATAAAATTAGGATCACCTGTATTAATGAACTAATTGTATTCCTTTATTCTAAATCAACATCTCTTTAAAAATTGCAGGTGGCATTCAGCTTTCCATACTATTTCTGATTTCTCAAAAAAAATACTAGATCTGCAGAAAATAAAATGGGAAACATGTTGAAGAGAAAAACTATTCTAGAAGCAGGTAGAAAATCCCCTTTAGAATCCAAGTATTTCAGCTTCCATGATGTGTGTGTGTGTGTGTGTGTGTGTGTGTGTGTGTGTTTGTGTGTGTGTGTGTGTTTCAATGGGCACATAGGCTTGTGTGCCACAAACTGGGTCCTCACTGTTATAATTGGGCCACTAGAAGCCTCTCCTAGCCAATAAAAGTATATAGAATGTGATGTGTCCAATCCTTTGGGCAGAGATGCTTTCAAAAATAATTAGAAGGGGAGGGGGGTATTTTAACCACCAAGGAAAATGTTTTACCATCCTGAATGTGAAACTTCTGATTTTTCAAACCAATTACATTAGGTTTCCCCCAGAGATAAAAAGGAGGGACGCCCTTCCCATCTGGAGGGCGGTTCCACAGGAAGTGCAGCTGGGGAGGCGGTGGAGACGCTGTGCCCTCCGCACACCACCTACAATGGCATCTCACAGCCTGAATGAAGCTTCGGGAAAGGGGTACTGCATCTTGAAGCCAGACAAGAAGCCCTGAAGGGGAGAGGAGAGGGGAGAAAGGAGAGAGGGGGGTAGACTGGGAAACAAGAAATCATCTCCTCTGACCTCTAGCGAAGTGCCAGGTTTTTTCTTTAGCTCTTCACATTTTCTAAATTTGCAGATCTGGTGTCCCGTTTTGCGGTTCCTGCAACTGCTGCAGACGCCACAGTTGATGAGCCTCTTGCAGGGCACGCAGACCCCACACCTTTTCCTCTTCTTCTTGGCCGGGTTGGCTCCGCCAGCTCCCCCCGAGGAGGACGAGGAGGAGGAGGAGTGATTCTGCGGGCAGTCTGCCAGATTGGCAATTTGAAACGCACTGTCTGTGACGGCTGCTGAGGCTGCTGCGGGGGAGTGAAGGGCTGTCATGACGATGACCCCTGGAGGTAATGAGATGCCCCCTAAAGCCGGGATAGCGGAAAAAGTCCCCACGCGCTCGGGGAGATTCATTATCTCTGCTTCAGCAGCGCCGCATTTGAGCTTGTTCATGCATTCCCCCGCCAAAGGTCTGCAGTGTTCGGGGGATAAGGTGGAGAGGAAATTAGTATTTGCCATTTGCAACGACGGCTCTGGCGGGCAGCCAGCTTTCCCCAGCCTCTGGGAGTCGTTTCGGTGGTGCATGCTGGTC